ATTAATATGTACTACTTTTATAATAAGGAAGAAAATAGAAATTTGTTCTTTTTCATGATGAGCCATGAGCTTAGATCTTTCCCTGCCTTCCCTGTTCTCATGGCTGTGCCTTCTGGGCAGTGTGTGTGTGTTGAAAAATATGTTGACTCAGCTCTGCTTTTTCCACTGACCTGCTACCCTGGGTCCAGTCACTTACTTCCTCCTTGGGTCTTCCTGCCAAATTACTTCTCAGAATTTTTGCAGACCTCCTGCTTGTGTCTTCCTCCAAGCACCCTCCCTTGGAGTCCTTACCCTCCACTTTCATATTGAGAGTCCATCTCTTGAGCAACTAGCTCCTGTTCCCATTTTTCCCTTCATACATAATTGGCTTTTATTGGCAGGTAGAGGTCTTAAGTTTACTTTCATTTTTATCAATAAGGAAATTCAGAGAGAGTAAGAGACTTGCCCACAGTACAGCACAAACCTAGAGCAGAACCACGTCTCCTGCTTTTCCTTCTCTCAGCCCAGGCTGCCTACTCCCCATGTCTTACTTTATAGAAGTTCTTCATGTTCTGTTCTCCTACCAGGCATTTGAGGAAGATCTGGAATGTTACCCATGTCCTCTGCTATACTCAAACATCTGTGATGTGGTGACTGCTCATCCACTTATTACTCCCACTTAAAGAAGTTAATACCCTTCTATATGTCACTTTACTTACATACATACATACAAATTAATTCTGATAAATACAACTATTTTATCCTAACAAACCTTTAAATTAGTTCTTATCCTCTGTTTATAGGTGAAGAACTGAAGCTTAGAACTGTTAGGTAACTTAAGTTTTGTGTTACTTATTTACTTCTCAGAATTTTGCAGACCTCAGCTTAAGTCCCCAAAATGTACAGCATCACAATAAAAAAAAATTAAAATTAAATCTTCCCCAGATCCAGGGTATCCTCATTTCTACAAGCACAGCTCCCCCTATAAACACACACACACACACACACACATTTAGAGTCTAGAATCGGTTCTAAAATATCAGAGCCAGATGAGGAACTGTTGGAAAACTCTACCATTTTCTTCTATCCAGAATTATGTACTGCTTTTCCCATGCAGTGGAATATATTGGGGTCACAGGCTTATAATTCTAACACAAAGATAGAATAACTCTTTTTTTTATTTGTTTTTGTAGTTATAGATGGACAGAATACCTTTATTTTATTTATTTTTATGCAGTACTAAGAATCAAACTCAGTACCTCACACATCCTAGGGAAGCGCTCTGGTACAGCCCCAGCCCCCAAGATAGAACAATTCTTGTAAAACATTCCTTAGGAGGATTAAATCATTTCTAAAATGCAGTTTATGAATAATTTCTGCTTCATTGATCTGTCACTTTGAATAATCAAGAATAGGAGTGTGAGTCTTTAAGCATTTCTGGTATGAACTTCCCCAGAAGATGGCTTATGCTTTTGTATCCAGAGAAGACATTTCCCATGATTCATACAAAATTTAAGAAGTTTTTGTTTATTAGATAACAATAAGTCATGATGCTGACATGGGACTTGATTGAGGTTTTGGATCTTGAACACTTCTAGCAGTTTCCTAAGTTTACTACCCTCTTCTCTTTGTTGTTCTTTCCCATGCCTCACCTTAATACTTGGCCTTGAATGTAAGAGAAAGGACAGTTCATAATACAAGGACTTAAGGGCTAGCTGTTGATGCAGATGGGCAGCCACCAGGCTCCATGATTGATAGGCTGTCAGCATCCTAGAGCCTTTTTTGGGCCTCCCATTACATGTGTTTCAGGAGTTTCATGTACAGTGAGCACAAATTACCAGTAATAGCTTTAGATGTGACCTCATACAAGAGTCTTTACATTTTATTTTATTTTTTTTAAGAGAGAGTGAGAGAGGAGAGAGAGAGAGAGAGAATTTTTTTTTTTAATATTTATTTTTTAGTTCTCGGCGGACACAACATCTTTGTTGGTATGTGGTGCTGAGGATCGAACCCGGGCCGCACGCATGCCAGGCGAGCGCGCTACCGCTTGAGCCACATCCCCAGCCCCAAGAGAGTCTTTACATTTTAAAGAATCAAAGTCCCTTAGGTAAACCAAAAGAATGAATCTCTAATAGAGTAGATATCCCAGTCTTTGTATCTGTTGCTTTCTTGCTATAAGAGCTTGGACAAATTACTTCACTTTTCTGGAGTTGGTTTCTTAATTAGTGAGAAGGCTAAATTGGGTAAAATCTGAGGTTTCTTCCAACACTAACCTAATAAATGTACCATTGTGCCTGGATGTGGAGACCCATCCGCCTATGCTGAGGCAGACAGCCAGATCCTCCAGGCAGTGTGTAAAGGGATCTTTGAAAACATATCTGGGCTCCTTAGTGCCTTGCCTGCGACTTAGAGCAAGTCACACCTTCTGAGTCTTTGATGTCCCCCAATCTGTCTCATCACATAACACTTATGCACATGCATACATACTTTTTTTTTACCTTCTAATATGCTTTTTGCTAATGGCTAATAAAATAATTAGATTCTTGTTAAAGTCCACTGCTCGACCAGCACGCTGGTTTCATACAAGAGGTTTGTAGCATAGAAGTTAACTAGTGAGATCGAAATAAACACACAAGACTCAATTATCCTTTTCTGGCAACAGTGAATCTGTCCCTATGGTTTTGTCTCCTGCAGAATTTCCTTTTTTTTTTTTTTTTTTCCTTTTCAGTACTGGAAATTGAATATGCTAGGCAAAAATTCTACTAGAGCTACATCCCCCACTGGCTTTGAGACACGGTCTTGCTAAATTGCTGATATAGTGTTACACTGTATAGTTGAATAGACCCCCAGTGTTTTATTCCCCCTGCTTTTGAGAAGTTTCCTTTCCTCTCCATCATTGTTGTTGTTGTTGTTGTTGTTGTTAGAGTTGTAGATGGACAGCATGCCTTTATTTTTGTGCAGTGCTGAGGATTGAACTCAGTGCCTCACACATGCTAGGCAAGCACTTTGCCACTGAGCTAAAACGCTATCCCCTTTTTCTCCCTTTTTTTCTTCAGTGTAAATCAGGTATAAATGAGAAATGTGCAGCATATTGTCATGTAATTCAAAGACATTTATATTCCATGTGCTCCAAAGATGATAAATTAGCTTCACATAAATAAAAATAACAATCCCTTTTTTTGTTTCAGTGTGTTAATTATACCAAAACAACTTATCTTGCCAAGACTCTAGAATCTGTTCTTTCATTTGGTCTGTGTAGTTGAAGACATGTCTGGGCTCCTTATGACCCCCTTAAAATATGATTCCTGCCTTTTAATGAATATCAGTTTATTTATCGCTTAGCTCATTTTCCAACATCCTAGAAGACTACAAATTCATTAAAATGTTATATACACATGCTTGAACTTTAAACCACTTATTTTTTCAAACACACTTTAATTTTGGTTAAACTGGGCAAGAGTTAGAATTTGTGACTTGAGGCTCCTTGTAACAGAGGCATGAGCTCTTAATTCCCTTCTTCCTGTGGGATTCTGTGATTCCTTTTTTTTTTTTTTTTTTTAAGTTAATGCTCAACCTTTAGTCACTTAAAGGTAAGTAGAGGGTTGTTGATGGATCAGGGCTAAAGGAATTATTTTGGAAAGAACCTTAATGTGTATACATTGCTCTACATTAAATACCAGGTATGACAAATGTGGTGGCTTCTTGTTTATTTGTTTGTTTTTGGCTTCTAATGTCTTTTTATTTGTTAGCTAACGGTCATCAACAGTAATTCATCTGCAGGCCTAAGTCAACTGTTTTGAGATTTGACCATAGAATAATTAAGAATAGGAACATGTTACATATACATCATTGACAGTCAGTAAATGATTTTTTAAGTTACCTTATGTGAGACTGAATTGATTATAAACTGTTTCTAAATGCAAATTTTTAAAAAATAGGTTGAAAACTACGCCCCCCAAAAGGAAACAAATACACAAAGTTTTGTATGCAAATGTTTATGGTAACCTTATTTTTCATAGCTGACAACTGGAAACAACCAGAAGCCTATTAACTGGTAGACGGATCAACAAAATGTGGTACAGCCACACAATAAAACAATATTCCTCAGTAAAAGAGAACAAACTTCTGATATAGGCTACAACATGGATGATTCTCAAAAATACTTTGCTAAATGAAGAAAATCAGACACAATAGACACATTGTGTGGCTCCATTTAAAATGGAAATTCTGGCCTAGGCTTGGTGACAAACATCTGTAATCCCAGTGACTTAGAAGCTGAGGCAAAAGGGTCCGAAGTTTGAAGCCAGCCTCAGCAATTTAGCAAGACCATGTCTCAAAGCCAGTGGGGGATGTAGCTCTGTAGTAGAATTATTGCCTAACATATTTAATTTCCAGTACTGAAAAGGAAAAAAAAAAGGAAATTCTGCAGGAGACAAAACCATAGGGACAGATTCATTGTTGCCAGGGTCTAGGGTGAGAGAAACATATTTACTATGAAGGGGCACAATGAATTTTTTTAAACGTTGGGAAATATTCTATATCATTATTTCAGTGGTAATTTTATGAATGTGTACATTTGTCTAAACTCACCAAATTGTACACTTGAAATTGGTGATGTCTATTAAATGTCAATTACACCTCAAAATAAGCAGAGAAACAAACCTAGAGCACATCTTACCACTTGTCTTGGAAATAGCCTTTTGTAAACTGAATTTGGAAAACCTGTTTTTAATAAGATACCAATAGTATTAATTTCTATAGTGAATCTTTACCAAATATTGACCCCTAAAATGTGTTTGCATAGAAAACAGTGAGTGAATACCGGCAGGGTGGCACACCTCTGTAATCCTGGTAACTTGGGAGGCTAAGGCAGGAAGATTGCAAGTTTGAGGCCAGCCTCAGCAATTAACAAGACCCTTACTTAAAATAAAAAATGAAAAAGAAAGAAAACAGTGAGTGAGTCACTTGCTTTAATATCTCATTGCTTTTTTGCTTTCTCTTTACCTCTCTGCCCAACCTAGAAAAACTAATTGAGGGACTCAAATCTCCTGACACGTCTCTTCTGCTCCCTGAACTCTTGCCTATGGCAGATCCTTTTGGTAGCACTTCCGATGCTGTAATTGGTAAAGTCACCATCTGTTTCTTCAATCATGCATGAAATGTATGTGTATTTTGAATTAAGTGTCTGATTAACAGATCCTAGAATGAATTTCATATGAATGAACAGAAATGTGAAGAATTCAGTTGCAAAAGCATCATGAAAAAATTGGTTTCTAACTGGACCTTACTTTACTGAACTTGATGGGATATAGCAGATTCTTCCTTAGAAGGCCAATGCATGTACCAGAAAATGCTTTGTCCAGTAGTTAAGCTCCCTGAATAGAATCTAGGGCAAGACTCAGTCTACTTATTTGCTTATATTTTTTTGTGTTCCAGTAGCAAGGCAGGCAAAACCTACAAAATGTCCAAGGCCTCTGTACTTTAGGAGGAGCAGTCATTAGACACCTGGTAATGCCTCGGGGGAAAAATGTCCTAGAATTCACAAATGCCATGGCCCTACAGAAAAAATGGGCCTTCAGTTGAGAAACATGACTTGGTGCAGAATGCCTCCCAGCTACACTATGGGATGGAGATGAGATGGATTTGAGGCTTTTGCATTAGATTAGAGGATGTTTACTCTAAATTTGTTACTTAAAAAAAGCAGAAGAATTTAAGGTGCCTTTTAGCTAATCTCTTCTAACATGGTAGAAATCTCATGCTTGAAAGAGGCTTGTGTTCCATGCTCTAACAGTGAAATCTAGACACTGAAAGCAGCAGAAATAGTCACTTTTTGTGCTTTCCATCTTGCTGAGGCTGGTATTTTAGCAACCTGTGTACAGAAATTTCACAGAAGAAAGCCTTCACAGAATTTCCTGAAACTTCTGTCTTCCTTCCCTTACCCTTTCCTCTCCTTTCTTAATGCTCTGTTACAAAAGAAAAAGCTGATGTTGCCGTTGAGAGTCTCATACCAGGACTGGAACCCCCAGTTGCCCAGCGCCTCCCATCTCAGACGGAGTCTGTGACCTCAAACCGCACAGGTCAGTCAGGGATCTCAGTAGCTGAAGAGTCTGATCAATGTGGCTTTCTACCTCTGGCAGATGATCATCAGCTTATTTTTTAGCCTGGCTAGTTTCTCCTAGAGTGGCTACTTGTTCTTATAGCCCTGGTGTCTAGATGTTGGATGTATTTTTCCTTGCTGAAGAACTGGGTACTTTTTGGATTTGTGCTCTTTTTAGAGTAGGCCCTAGGCTTACCCTGGTTATAGAATTTCTTTATTCAAGATTCTTTTTACTAGTGGCAGATCTCTCCACCTCCTTAATTAAAGAACTCTGCAGAGTGGCCATGCTGTAAACCCCCTCTAGACTGCCCAGCCGTCTTTCCCACCTGAGAACATCAGTGGGTATCTGCAGAGCACATCTCCTATGGGTTGACATTTTTTACCCAGAACAGTGCTTTAATCATCTAGGGGTGGTTTGCTGTTAAATTGTAGGCAAAACCAGATTCTTCCTTGGATTCAACATTACTTTCACCTTAATTTCAACATTCAGTCTTAGTAGAATTTCTTAGCTGCTTATAAAAACAAATTTGATAACATTCATTTTTATTGAGTCTATAATTACCTTGATAAAAGTGTCTGATTATCTGACTCAGAAAATCAGCAGTTAGAGGTCTTGAAAATGTGAACATAAACTTACTCAGGTGAAAAAATTTACCCCAGAAGATAAAGTGGTTCGTTTTCTTTGTCTTCACTTGGATATTTTCTCCTAGAAAACTCTCCCAAAAAACAATCCTTGTTTAAATGCTTGAACTCTGAATTTTTGTCTTCCTTCCATTCTTTAACTGAAAACAAATTAGGTGTTCAAGGAGTAATTTAAATTCAAGAATACTAACAAGACACATTTAGAATGGTAATCTGATTGAGTTCTAGAAAGTATTGTTTAATCTCATCACATTCTACTAATAAAAAGCTAGATCAACTCTCCTGGTTAATTTCAATACCAATTTCAATTTCAGTGTGGTAAGTCTTTTCCTGTGAGTGTTAGGGAAATGAAACAAATTGCAAAGTCCTTTTTCTGAAATGGTACTTGCTGAGAACTAAGTTGTTAAAATTGTACTGGCATCCAAATCAGACTTGCTTAACCAGCAACCTCTGAGCTAAAATGTCTCCTATACTTCCAAGTTAATGTTAAGAGGAGTCTAGAAATACATGTTGATGTGGTTAGAAATCCAGAGGACTTAACAAGTTTCTTTTGGTTTTCTTTCTCCCGCCTTGGCTTGAATGTATAACTTGTAAATGCAATAATTTAAAGGCTTAGATCTAATCTCATGATATTGTTATATGTGCCATTTAATGCTGTCACTGACCTGGAATGCTGTTAACTGGACTCAGATTCTCTCACTGGGGAAGATTCCCTGCTTGACTGCTCTCTGCTTTCTAACCCTACTGCTGACCTTCTGGAAGAGTTTGCTCCCATAGCAATCTCTGCTCCAGCCCATAAAGGTAAATTTTTCTTCTGAGGCCCACAGGTATCCCGGGAGGAGAAGAGCTGAACAGCTCCTAAGTTTCCCTTTTCAAAAGTCTTTGCTATAAAGTTTTTAAACTTCCTTTTATAGAAAACTTGAGTTTGTATTCTTAGTCACTGTTATGATACCTCTCAGAATATCTAATAAGCCTTAGACAACAGATTGGTGAGGGTGTTACTTTCTGGCAAGAACTGGATGCAGGTGATATTTTACGTTGCCTTTGAGCACCATATACCTTGACAGTCAACCAAGAAAAATGCTTGAGCTGACTGTCTACTCACTCACTATAATTATTAATGTGATACTTGTTGACCTTGGAAAGTAGAGTTGTTCATCAAATGTGATTCAAGGTTTTGAACAATTATGACTACAGTAAAGAAACAGGTGTTCCTCAAAAGTCGCTCTTCAGAGATTGAATTTTAAACAGTTTCAAATTTTGTCCATTTTAAAATCATGATTGATTACTTGATTTTTCTTCTTCATCTGGCATTTTTACTTCTTAGTTTTGGATTAATATTGATTTGAAATTCTACTGGACAGAGGTAGCTTAAATTGAGTTTTGTTCAGAAGTTTGTGACAATGGTAGGTACACTGACTTCCTCTATGTAAGCATTTACTAAACTTATTTCTCTGCTTGAGTAATGAAAGTGGTTTTCTAGAAGGAGAAAATACATAGAAAGGAACAGCTGAAGCCCTTTCTAAGGGAAATTCAAGAAGGAAGCTGCCCAGAGATGACTAAAAGTAATTAGCTCATGGTTTGCAGTGGTAATAGCTGAGCTTTTGTTTTTATCTCTGATAGCATTAAAATGATTTTTTTATAGCATATGTAAAGGGAAGTTACCTGATTAGACAGTGGTGTGTGGCAGGAGTATGCCAGCAGCAGTATCTAATTACAGAGAAACATCCCTTGCAAAATAGTTGCTCAGCTAGCACTTGTTGGTACTGTTGCTTTAATTAGATTGGAGAAAACATTTTTAAAAACTTCTGCTAGAAGTCTCAGTGCAGGAGATTTTATGCCCTACTGCTCCCTGAGGCAACTAAGTCATTTGAAAGTCTTTTCCCATTCACAGAACAATGAGCCCTTCTATAAGTATTTTTACTTGCCTTGTGTATACTTACCTATTGTTGGTTTGGGGTCTCTTGGGGATAGGGGTTGAACCTAGGGCTTCACACATGCTAAGCATGTGCTGTTCCACTGAGCTGCACCCCCTGCCCCTTCAGTCATCACTTCTTAAAGAACTGCTAGTTCTCTCTCCCCGACACTCCTAGTTTTGAGTTTTTTGAACATGTTAGCCAGGCCTCTTTTCCCTCAATAAAGAAAACAGCTGACTCATTCTTGTGCCTTTCTGAATTAGTAACATTGAAGAGATACTTCACAATAATTATAGTTAATGGTCCTACAAATAGTAGAGAAAATTCTCCCAATAACCCTTCTCCCTAATCATTTATGAAAGACTTAACATGGCCAATTCTAAAGCATTTTCCATATCTTTATGTTTTCTGTTTCCCTACTTTTATTTCAACTCAGAAAAATAAGTACTTTCAACTTTAAGAACTCCAGTAATTATATATATAAATATATTGTTGGGAACTTTGTGCCTCTTTCCCTTTCTCTCTGTTTGCTAATCTCTACCTCTGTTGTTTCTACTTGTGTGCTTGCCTTCTGTATTAAGCTGCAGAAGATAGTAATCTCATCTCAGGTTTTGATGTCCCTGAGGGCTCGGAAAAGGTGGCAGAAGATGAGTTTGACCCTATTCCTGTATTGATAACCAAAAACCCACAAGGTAAGAAAGAGGTGGGGGAATAAGGAAGAGCTTGACATCTGCTCTTATCAAAATAATAATGTACCTAATCTGCAAGTGGGGGAAAGAGTCAACGTTTAGTGAAGGACATTGGAGGCAATGACAATCATTCATTGTAGGCTGGACCAGTATAGATAGGTAGAGATGGAGATACTGATAGAGGTACCTAAAGCTTGACCATGATGTTTATGTAGAAGTAGTTTGACTAACAACTAGTTTACAAAGTATCAAGCCAAAAATAAAGTGATCTTCAGTCAGTGGAAATTTAAAGATATATATCAAAAGTTCTTAACTTTTTTTTTATGATTAGAACAATCTGTAATAAATATTCTTTCCAAAGAAATTAACATGGTGCTTTTGTATTAGCCACATCTTTTGGACATTCTCAGAGCATGCTTTTTCCTCTTTGATGAATTGAAATCACTTGAACATGCTATAAAACACTGAATTGCCATCAGACCATGTATTTATTTTTTTAAAGCATGTTCTTATTACAGTGTTTTAATAACTAATTTCTCCCCAAATCAAAAATTGATCAAGGGGATGGCTTGATGTTAACAGAAAGCTAGTGTAAAGCCAGCAATTCTCAGGCAATGTACTGTTTCGAGAAGAGCTTCATCTTTAGAAAGTGTCTGCCTATGCTATGGTGTACACAGAGTGCCTAAACTTTTGGTGGGAGGTGGTAGATAGCTAAATTTTATGTTTAAAAATCATTACATATGAGACTTTGCAAATGTAAAATGTTGCCTCTCTAGGTTTCTGTGTTGTTTTTTTTCTCCTTTGCTTTCTCTGCACATCTAAACCTTAACCCTCTGTGTTTTGTACTGAATTCCTATCTCTCCACTTCCAGGTGGGCACTCTAGAAACAGCAGTGGGAGCTCTGAGTCCAGTCTTCCCAACCTAGCCAGGTCTTTGCTGCTGGTGGATCAGCTCATAGACCTGTAGCGGTGACCCAGTAGCAGATGCAGTTCTGTAACCTTCATGCCGTAATACACATTTTCATTACGGAGTTACGAGAAAAATGATTTTTTAAAAAAATCTGCAAATAAAGGGCCCTCCAGCCCTTTTCTCCTACCCCTTGCCTTCTCCTATAGAAATGATAAGGAAAGAAAATCACTTTGGCCCTCCAGATATATTCCTTGGCCAGTTCCTCCCTGTTAGTTTGCTGTGTTTTCTCATTAACCTTCTTCAATAGCATTATCTTAAATCAAGCGCTAGATGCCATGAGCTTCACTTCTGCTGGAATTGACTCCACCAAAAGCTTAACTGTAACTGAACATAGTGAACTGACACCTTTGTCTCATTCTTGCTAGGAATGGCCTCCCAAATCAATCCTCCCAGCCCCTGTCTCCTTGGCCAGATGCTGATGAATATGTTTTCCTGTTTTTGCTTTTTATTCTGATGCATTATCATGAGGACCCGGCTTCTTCAGCTGGTTTTAACTCTAGGCAGTAGCCTGGAGATGGATGTGTGGTTTAAGAGAGGGTAAAACTCACTGATAGTATATGTTTGAGAAGAGAAATTGAGCCCAGCTCTGGCCTACCAACTTTGCCCTTGTTTAATCATAGACTTAGCCAAGAGATTTACACCCCATGCAACCCACCCAGCATTCGTCCAGCTTTCTGGCTTCCACTGAGTCGTGATTTCTCAGATCTGGAGATGTGACTGCAAGTACTTGAGATCCTTGGATAAAATGTGTACGTTATATAAACCCCAAGTATTGCCATTCCTTTTCATGTTACCTGGCTCAAGCCAGAACCTCAGAATTAGACCAAAACAAGACAGTGGTGGTAATATGATACCTTTTATTAGAAGACTTTTCACTGGGGGGTGGATAGGGGAGGGGAAGGAATTGTAGCAGAAACAGATGTATTTTTCTTGTGATTTTTATTTTGAATCAAATATTGTAAATTGTGTATAAATGAAGACACTGAATAGTTCTGTTTCCACTTGGCGTTTCAAGTCCGATATCAGGTGTCTGTACAGGGTTTTGATCACTTTCCCTTGTATAACCACACAGCGATTCTACAGTGTAACATATGGAATTATTTTGAGTAGATTGTGTGTCTTGCTATAAGCTTCCAGCAGGTCCTGTCTCTATAGAATAAGCATGTTGTTTATTTTCAGATAATCAGAAATAAGTGTGCTGACAAGCTGGGCACAGTTTGGCTATTTACCTTTCTCTCTGATGTTTAAATTGAAGGCTGCAGCCAATGGAATATGTTCAGATGGTTTTCCTTGGCTTCCTAGATTTAAAAACCAAACAAGGCATAATTCTTCACTAACCTTAGACTGTTGTTAATAAAATAAATAAAGGCCCCTGCACTGACATGACAACATGCCTCATGGTCACCCTCTGTATATGTACTTACTCACTAAAGTGTATTTTATTTCCTTACATGGAAAGTACTTTTATAAAATCACCCTTTTGAAAAGAAGGGGCACAGAGAACCACCTTGTTCTCTTTCTCGAGTGCCATTGTCCATGATCAAAAGGGACAAACTTAGTTGATCAGATTTGTATAAATAAAATTCCAAGTCCATTTGCTTGTTCTCTAGCTAGTACTTTTGTTTCTTCTTCCTCACATTTGCACTTTAAGGGTGGGGGGATGGGGAGGAGTTTAACAGCAACAAGAGCCTGCAGACACTGCACTCTGGAGGGCCAGCTTTGACCCCAGCAGTGGAAGAGTAGCCTGGAAAGGCTTCAGAGGACAAGTCTGAACCTTTCATTCTTCCTTCTGACTTCAAATACTTCCCTTGCCAGCTGAAATTAGATGAGCTAAATAAAGGCTTCTGCTAGGAGAACAGATCATTTCCAAAGTTGAGAGAGGCACAGCTTCCTGCTGAGGACAGAAAAAAAAAAGGCCGTGAAGAGCTCTCTGTGATTGGGTAGCAGTGGAAATAGGACATGGTTTACCCCTTTATGGACAGGAAACTTGCTGCAGATCAGAATTGTATCCTCTTTCCTGGACACAGAAAGAATGTATAAATTAACGAAGGAAATGTTTATTTTTAAAGAAGGATAAAGTTTAGTTCTATGTTTTCATATTTGATTTTTTCATATATATGTGTTAGAAATATAATGAACTATAGTTTCTCAATTTAGTTGAAACCATGAAGTGTACAGTTTAGAATAGGTATCTCTAAATTGTTCCTTTCATGCATTACCCATAATTACATTGAAATATATTAGCTAGTCATTTGGCTCAATAAAGCTTAATGGAGACAGTTAATGAAAATAGACTAGAAGCCAGAGATGATGGTAGATGCTTGAAGAAGATAATGACAAAGAACTATCTTGGGCTTATTCGTTAAGAGTACAGCCTCTTTCTGCTTTTCTTTTGAGGAATGCACCTGAGTGATTTGGTAAATAGGGACTTCCTTAGTTTATAGCATCATCTCTGAGCTGAAATAGTTTATTTGAAGTGAGCATAATATTGTAGTAATTGATGGACTTCTGGAGCAACAGAGTGAGTTATAAGAGAGACCTTAGAGACCATCTGCTAGTCCATTCACTTCATTTTACAGGTGTGGGATCTGAACTGAATTAAGGCAGGGGGTGGAGAGAAGAGGCCTGGGCAGGCCAGGCCACCTGGAATCTCATTCCAACCGTTACCAGGCACTGGCTGAGTAATTTTCGGCAGGTACTTCACCTCTCAGAGCTGCTGTCACTTACTTATACAATGATGGTGTGACTGGATAGATGATCTTAAGGTTTTAGAAGCATAAGGTCCTAAGTATGTATTGTTAGGCTTTGAAGGACTATGAAGGATTTATATAATCTTGATGTTCTTCAGTTATTGTCTGTATTCCTGATATTATTATAGCAGCATTATATGTTAGAGAATTATAATGGACTTTATTAACCTGTTTACTCTTTCTTGGTTATCTGAATAGAATCCTAAAACATCACAGAGTTTTGGGTGTAGATTTTTTTTTTAATGTTACACTCTTGCACATGTACCCACATGTACACCCCTACATATTCCAGTAAAATAATATTTTAAAATGTAGGATCAGAGATCTGCCATTAAAATTGAGCAAATACTATGTGCATATGTTTATATGCATTTGCTTTTATTCCAACTGTTTGAGAGTAATAACTATCCTAGCAAACATCACAAATTGGGGTTTTTTCCCCCTTTACAGCATTCAAATAATGAAATCACAAAATTCAATTCCCAATGTTTAAAAAAATACAGTTCTCAGAGGAGATAAAGTTTAAATGGACACTTCTAAATATGATTATAATCATTACAATTAATGATTTTTTTAGCAGACGCATTTGACATCTAATTGAATGATGTTTTCTTCAAAGGTATCCTAGTTCACTTGGGAAGTTAATACTTATCTTAGTGATGCTGTCATCATTCACATTCTTTTTAAAACTCATCTTCTTAAAAATAACATTAAAGAACACATAAGCAAATCATTTGTATTATCAAATTATACACTTTCAGCATCTGAAAGTATATTCTATTCACTTTTTCCACTACTCCTGCTTCTGGGTAACATTTAGCTATTTCCAAAAAGCAAAATCACCCCAGTAAGATGAAGAGTGGTTATTACTGAAGAGAGTATAAAGAAGAATCCACAGAAAATTCCCAGAGAGACCTTACAAGAGAAAATGAACATGATCAGTCTTATTTTCCTTAATACTCTGAATAAGGGAACTTCTATTATAACTCCTATCTTTAGTATAGTTTAGAAAATTGAAAGATATGAGTTTTTAAAATACCTCTGAAAGAATCTGTCACTTTGTTCAGTGTCATTTGACATTGGAGTTGGCTCTTCTTCATCAGAATTAATTCATTAGAATTATAACTTAGGTTGCTAATAATTGGTGCAAAACAAATCCAGGAAAGTACCTGTTTTTCTCAAGATGCTTTGTTTTACTTTTAATACCCATTTTCTACTCTCCCAATAGAAAATTGGTGATTTTGATTCAAAACAACGTAACCTTCCCCCAGGTCAGCAGTGATTCTGGCTTCAGTTGCAGGAGTGAGAGGACCTTTGGGCCGAGAGCCCAGAGGTATGGAAAGATCTGCATTCAGCTAAACAAATGAATGCTATAGACACATAAGGCCAAAATAATCTCCCATGATGAGGTTTTTCTGTGACCTTCAGGAGTCCTTGACTTTCTTAGTCTATTATCAGGGTCCTGTAGCAACTAACTTTAAGTTCAGGGATAAAAATTATGCACTTCTCAAATATACTGAATTAAGCAAATCATAGACTTCCTGGCAGAACAAAAAACTGTCAGATGTTTAGAATGGAATCCTTGGTGAAACACTCAAGATTTTGCAAAGCTGTCTTATGTTCTTCTCTAGACACTAACTTTACCAATCCAAAATTAATCTTTTCATTTCCACACTGGTGATGTTCCTGAAGTTGGATGTGCTTAGGTTTCTTCAAGTGGAATGAATCTCAGATGGCTCCCATTTCAAAAAATCTGTACCAAGATCCTATTTCGCTTTTCGTGGGTTTCCTTTCACTAGGATGGGGGAGGGAGGCTCCTTGGGTAATGCTATCCTATGCAAACAAAGTTACCAAATGGTGGTAGTTGCTATAATGGAAGACACTTTCTCGGTTCCCATTTTGACGCAGTGTCCTGAATTTACTCTTTTCCTGTGAGTATTCTACTCTGCCCTATTGCACACACTCCTTTGTCACGTGGATGTATGTTTACCATAGGTCTTTAACCTGTCCTCCCCAAGAAGATAAAGCAAACAGATGTACATGAAGCTATCTTATGCAGTAAAAATGTGAAATTTGAACATTGCTTCGCAAGTATTGTATAAATAACAAGTCTGTAAACAAATTTCTTATGTAAACTTACAGGGAAATAAAGACTTTTATCTGTTCAAATGAGAGCATGATGTTTAGAGATGTAAATAATTTAAAATAGCTGTTGTTTTCCTGAGTTGTAAACCCACTTTTGCTGAATGGATTTAAACACACTATTGAGTGACCAGAAAAGAAAAGGCGGACACATGGGAGAGACATACCGAGGACATTTTTATGAGTCATGCCACCTTGGAAAATAAAACCCCTTGTGGTCAAATAGAACAAAGCCCCTATGGAATGACCAGACCTGGGGTTGTAAAATAGAGCCCAGATTTGCAGCTGCCCTCCTTAAATTTAATCTATAACATACCAAGGCCAAAGTAATTAAACATTCTAGGTTAGTGAGGACAATTGTATGCCCAGTGAGAAATTGCTCTCATTTAATTGCCTCATAGGCTTGAGACATGCGGCATCACTGGCTAGTGTTGGCCCCCATCCAGTTGTGTGTTCTGCAGCTACCCAACATATGGCAGAACCAGATGCTTCTGTTTATTATCAAAGCCCAAAGGTCATGGAAATTCTTAGTGTGATGCTCATCCCTTAATTCCTTAATTTGGGTCCCAAACTGAATATCAACTGATGCCACATTTCTGAGGTCTTATGAAGGGAATTTTGCTTTCTATTCACTAACTCCATGAGAAGGCTTTTCAGTACTCTTTATTTTCCATTTCTGGCAAGAATTATATCTTTGATATTCCCCAAAGTGTTATTTATGTTTATGACATGGAGAAAAGTAAAATTCTAATTCATTGGACGAAGGAATATCCAACCCAAAATTTAACTTCAGACTTTGATTCTTGTGTGTGTGTGTGTGTGTGTGTGTGTGTGTGTGTGTGTGTGCGCACGCGCGCCACATGCTTGTAATTGAACCCAGGGGCACTTAACCACTTCCCTGGCCCTTTTGATTTTTTGAGACAGGGTTTCACTAAGTTGCTTAGGTCTTCGATAAATTGCTGAGACTGGCTTTGAACTTGTGATCCTCCTGCCTCAGGCCCCTGAGTTGCCCGGATTACAAAAGTATGCCACCATGCCCGGCTCAGATTTTCCTTCTTTAGAAAGTACTCTGATGACCCTCATTAGTCAGACAGATAAATGTTCAGAGTCAACACATCTCAAATCATCAGGCACTTTTGGGGACTCCTTGCTACTCCCTGAAGCATAAGAGGTTTTACTGAAATCTACATAACTTGGAGCCTCAAAATTGACTAATATGGAGTCACCTCTAGAGTCTCCCTTCTGTTTACAGTGATTAGAATCTCTGCTTCTCTTGATTACTCTGTTTCTTGTTCTACCATCAAAAGAATTCCTTAAGGAAATGTAAATGTCTGGGCTTCCCTTTATTCTCTGGCATTTCTTTAGCCTTCAGAGTGCCAGGCCTACAGAGTTGCAAAGGGAGGTTATTCTATGCCCCAGTCACACTGGAACCTGCTCTAAAAAGAATGAAAAGATTGAGGGACTAAGTTTTCTCAGGAAAAATCATTAAATGTACTTTTCCAGTTTTACAAAAAAGATGGATGCTCAAAGACAGATAGGAAATAGCTTCTGTCCTTGTTTTGAAGGAGACTAATTTCCCCTTCACACTTGATATTACAGTGTTTTTATGACTGAACTTTTAAAAATTGTTGGCATTTTAAGTATGGTTTATCCCCTTACTCACCACTGAAGAATATGCTCTGAGTTGGAAGTTTTGTTTTATTTGTTTGTTTTTGTACCCAGGATTGAACCCATAGGCACTTTCAGCCACATTCCCAGTTCTTTTTATTTTTTTTTTGAGATGGGGTCTCACTAAGTTGCTTAGGGCCTCACTAAGTGCTGTGGCTGGCTTTGAACTTCTGATCCTCCTGTCTCATCCTCCTGAGCCTCTGGGATTACAGGTGTGTACCACCGCACCCAGCCCCAAACTCACTTTTTAACAAATAGTTTTGATTCGTTTTAAATTTCCTAAAACCACCAACTTTGTCAAAGTAGTATACTCACCCCCCCTCCCCCCGCCATTCTTTTGCAGTACAGGGGATTGAATTCATGGGCACTCTACCATTGAGCTACATCACTGGTCCTTATTTATTTATTTAGATGGGATCTTGTTAAGTTGCTAAGACTAGCCTTGAACTTGTGATCCTACTACCTCAGCCTCCCAAGTAGCTGGAATTAATAGTGTTCATTTTGATTCTTGATTTAGATGATGCCCGAAAAGATATTTTTAATCCCTAAAAGATATTTTGCTTTCCTGCAGAATCAATATGACAGTGTCAGCTTTCAGAATAGTTTTGGAAGATGAAAAATTATACCTTAATTTTGGCAAATGAAAGTTTTTCCAGCTGTTGCTGTGCAAGAAAATGATTTAAGGTTTTTAGGGGTCTCTTGTGCCTCTTTAAGGCTTGGTGATTTTCATTTTTGGAAAAATTATTTTTCCCTTCAGAAATTGTTGCTTGAGTATTGCTGAGACAATATGTCAATATACTTGTCTGAGAATTAGGACTGTGTCTTTCCCACATATCTTGGAAGGGAAAAGTTATCCTATTTATCTCCTAACAGCTAACTGATGCCTTCATACCACCATGTAACTGCACATCTTCGAGTTCTAATACAAGGAAAATTTTATTCTCTTCAAAAATCATAATCTTCAAAGACTGTTCCAAAAGTTACTTAGCACCAGCACTTAAATTTCAAATTTGTAATTGACTAAATACATTCATACAGACAGAAAGGAAAATAAAAGTGAGTGGAAAAAAATACTTTTTGTTCCTAGAAAAAATAATACTTAAGGTCAGAACTGTTTAAAAAGAAAGCACTGCTAAAAAGTTATAGGATTCAGAGAAACATAGTATTTTTGTATAGTATCTTATAAAATGTTCAGACCTCTCTCTACATTCTCTTTACAATGTAATGTCTAAGTGACTGGTTTCCCAATAAACTAATTTTGATGCCTCTTCTGCTGTGTTCCGTGTGCTTAATTCAAGCAGAAACTTGAGAAGGGGATAATTTTTAGCAGAAATTTCTGCAAGCTAATGGTTTTCATAGAAGGGGAGAGGGCCTGTGTGGGAGGGGATATTGAATTCCATCTGTATAGAAGTCCTGAGTCATCTATGACTCCAAATCATTGTACCTAACATTCTTATCCTGGTGGGTCGGGAAACTCCAATGGTGTCTCTTTATTGAGCCCACGATGATGATACCTTTACCCTGCCCCAACCGTCCTTTCTCTGGATTCTTCTTGCTTAGTTACATATGCCTTTTTCCTGCCCTCTTGCTAACATGTGCCCAATGACATACTTCTAACCTGCTAATATTTCTTGGAAGGTAAGCTCTCTTGCATTCTGATAATTGTCTATTTGATTTCAAAAGCCAGAGCACCCTGAGGCACCTCTACCTAGATAGGCATAGACTAGCCTTTAGCAGTTTGCTAAGATTCTATAATTACCCATGCATTTTACTCCTTCTGCTTAAAGAACTTAATGATGGATTCATTTAAGCAGAGGAAGTCTTTGCTAACTCAGAAGACTGAAAACAAAATTCCAGAGCAACTCCAGCTGAAGGTGATTTTATTTAGTATGATTTTAATTCTGTATCCTCTGTTTAGAAAGTACCTTCAGTTGTTTTGATCTGGGCACCCCAGTACTCTTTTAGTAGTGCTGGTGATGTGAATCACCAAGTAAACTTGCACTTACCGAGCAGCCATGCTGGGCTGCTTTTCTGAGGGTCTGTCCCTCTGCATGTGGAGCAGATGACCACATGCCAGATACTAACTTGAGTTCATCCCCAGACAGTGTTTCTACATAATCCAAAACTTTCATGGCATATGTGGCATATGAGTGACTGGGTTTGTTTTCATTCCATGATGAGCCAGTGCCAGGTAGAGCAGGTGTCTGTGCCTGGCCCCGCGAGTAGGAGCATTGCATAGTTATGCTGAATGTCTGTGTGCCTAACATCTTCATCTCCTTTCCTGCACATTGTGCCTATCATGTTCCAAAATGTGAGATAGTGATTGGTTGTGTTCCAGTCTGTGTGCAGTTTCCTTGCCTGACTTTTATTTTTCTGTTTTTTCTTTTCCATTTTCAACACCTTTTATTTGTTCCCACAATGTTTCTGCCGCGGGTTGACTATTAAATGTTCCAAAAACAGTTGAACTGACCTACATGTTAATTCTGCATTTTATGCTTTTCTAGGTCTCCAGAGAGAGCCCAATCCCTGTCCTGTAATTACTGTAGAGCACTTTAAAAAATCAGCGGGCATTGAAGGCCTTCCCCTGTATCCAGACCCCTCCAGAGTACCTGGCACAAAGACTCAGAACAACTTAGAATCTGACTATTTAGCCAGAGATGGCCCTTCAAGCAACAGCTCTTTCCACAGCAGTGAAGAGGAGGGGACTGACCTGGAGGGAGACATGCTAGACTGCAGTGGGTCTCGACCTCTCCTTATGGAGTCTGAAGAGGAGGATGAAAGCTGCAAGCCATCCCAGGGGAAGCCAGGAGGAGCCGTTGCATTTGCTTCACCTGAAATCTCTGCTGAGCAAGCAAAAGCAATGCAAAGTGGAAGAAAGAACCAGTTCCAAACCCTTACGCAGCCAGCCACCGATGGTTTTAGTGAGCCAGATGTCTTCACCACAGCCCCCTTCAGGAGCTCAAGAATTCTAGCTGATGACATGGACATTTTCTCCAAAGCGCCATTTGTCTCCAAAGGCAGTGTGGCTCCTTCCCAGCCAGAGGAGGTGGATGTGTTCTTGAGAGCTCCTTTTACCAAGAAGAAAAGCATGGAGGAGTTACCAGTTATCCAGAACTCCTCTCAGGAACCACCTGCACAGACCAGTCTCCTCAGCCAGACAGGTGATGTCCCTCTGCTCTCAGGCCTTGAAAGAGCAGTGTACAGCTCTGTCCAAACTCAGTATTCCATAGCTGGTTTTGTGCAACAGTCTAACCACCCCTCCCATTCTGTCCAAGCAGTAGACCATCTTGACAGCATCTCTCCCAGGGGAACCTCCCTGGAATCTGGGGGCCAGCCCAATGACAGAAGCAAAGGACCTCTGCCCCAGAAAGAAGCTGTCTCAGGCCCAATGGCTAGCAAACCATTCCGCCCCCAGTCTTTATCCAAATATTCCCGTCACTATAGCCCAGAAGATGAGCCAAGCCCAGAAGCCCAGCCAATTGCTGCGTACAAAATTGTTTCCCAAACCAACAAGCAGTCAATAGCAGGCTCTGTTTCCATCACATCCCTTTCCTCCAGGACTACGGAACTACCAGCTGCTGATCCTTTTGCTTTAGCACCCTTTCCTTCAAAAGCAGGCAAGCAAAAACCTTAGGAGCAGTACCTGAGCCTAGGCCTCCGCCTCCGCCTCCCCCCACAAATATCACCACACCACTCCCAGCTGAGCCTTTTCAAGAAGAAATAGTATCAGTTATTTCCATCCCCTGCATCAGAGCAGAGTCTCTTCAACTCAACAAACTCAGTTGTAGTGACACTTGGTTGAAGCCCTTCTAAGTTATGCAAATTGTTTTTATTGATTTCTAGACTTTCACACACTTCAATTTCCTTCCTAGAGGCCTTCCACGTCCACCCAGAACTCTGCTTCTCCCTCCATCCCTGCAAAACTGTTTTAATCCAGGAATATTTTACCCCAACCCCAGGGGCCATATTATTACTAGTATTAATTCCTGTAACTCCTCTTCTGAGTCATGTCCATTGAAGAGTCAAGATTAATCCCTCCAAGACTTAATACTCTTGGAAAAGGGAGATTTCTAGAAAAGAGCAATATAAAAATCCTTCATGTCAAGAGGAAGTATATAATCTTGCAGCTACTAATCATTCCTGTAGAACCAGCAGCTCTTGAAGGATTCTGTGGATCTGTTTCTGAGTCTGTGTTCAAGCCAGGATGGCCCTCACGTGTGTCTGTGGGTGTGTGATGTGCATCAGATCCTCTCCTATGTAGAAATGCACGCAGATGGGAAAACTGCTCATTCTAATCATGTGAGCAGGGCCTTCCCACACTTTTTAAATTGGTATGGATGCACAGGCACGTGTGTGAGTGTGTGTGTGTGCGCGCGCGCGCATACACACATGCACAAGCACCAGAAACATTTTTTCTCTAGGTTAATCCTATCCCATCATGCCTACCTCCACAATCAGATCACCCTTACTCCCATTTGCCTGCTGACCTAACCAACTTGAATCCTGTTTTTATTTAGTTGTGTGTGTGTGTGTTTTTTTTTTTTTATCATGGCAAAATTGTATCCATTGGAAGATGTAGGGAAATCTTGCTGGAACTGAGGTTCAGAGTGGATTGTTTTTTCTCCAGAATTTGCTTTTAACAAATTTCCTTTACCTGGTTGTGAAAATTTAATTTTTTAAGTATATGTTTTCCCCTCACAACAGTAGAAAGGAGTGCCTTGTTACAATTCCAGCCACTGGGTAGCTTGGACTCAGTGCTGTCATTATGGAATTCATTAATCTCTAGACTAGGATGCAAAATTAGTTTGCTTGTTTCCCCTTCCCCCACAAATCCTTATCTCTCTCCACTACCTCTTGAGGAAATATGAACCTGGGACATGTAAATAAATTTGGGAGAATGAAAAAGCTGAATTAGCTAGCCATGAAAACTAAATTCTCTATTCTCTTTAGATGTTAAAGTAGGGCAGACAGGTGACTGGATTGTGTTTTTGGAAGTATCTTTTATTTCTGAAAAGATCTGACTCATTCTTAGCTTTTTTCATACCATTTATTTTTAGTGCCTTAAAACCTTTGTCTCAATGGGAAGATTTCTGCTGAGGAAGCCCAATTTAATGGAAAGAGTCTCTGCATCAGTTTCAACCTGAGAGCTTCCTAAAACTTCTAGTAAATGTTAGTGATTTCTCCACTACTGGAGAAACTTGGAGAGTTGTGTACCAACCTAAATTAGTGATTTACAAATTATTGGAAGTTCATTCAAGAATCAAGCCTAAATGCCAAGTTCTACTGTGGTTGATTATGTGTGCTATTCTTTCAAGGAGGTGAAGGTGTATACCTCGGTGGTAGAACATGTACTTAGTATGCCAAAACCCCAAGTTTGATCCACATCATGAAAAAATTAAAATTCAAAATCTTGATAATAAAATAAGAACAACTCCTTTAAAACACTTTTTGTTTTCTTAGTCTCTACCTATTTCAAATATCCACGTTAAAAGAGAAATAATTGGCACTGTGTTAGGGCTACTAGCGATGATTTTTCGACTGAGGTCTTAACTATGGCCAGAAACCTGTCTTTCACTTTAATGGATGCTCAGTGTTCAGTTTTAAGAATTTGCCTTCTCACAATTATTATTTCTGTCCCTCCCCCAATGTATTTCTATTGAATAGCTTTGGTTAATGCACATGGAACTTTGCACCACAAACTTTTCCTCTGGTAGTTATCAAGTGAAGCCCTCAAAGGCATGAGCTAGGAGGATAGGACTATTCAGAGAGTTCTCATCTGAAAAAACCTACTTGCATGGCATAGTGGTGTGCACCTCAAGTCTCAGCTACTGGGGAGTTTGAGGCAGGAAGATTGCTTGAGCCCAAGAGTTCAAAGCCAGCCTGGGCAACATAGAGAGACCTGTCTTTATTTTTAAAAAAGAAAGAAAAAAAAAAGAAGAGGGGGGAAAAAAACCAACAACTCTTTAAAGTTAGAGGTCATTCTAACTCATTCTTCCAAATTTCAGGATTACCTCAGCCCTGCAAATGTTATTCCTTTGTTTATTTGATCACTTCCTCCTAATCAAGTGGCCATTTTAATTCTCAAGGTACAAATCAGAATAAAATCATGGTAATTTTATTATGTAGTTGAATTGTTTTTTGAAGGATAGATTTGCTCTTTTTCATGTTTGCTGTAGACCCACATGGGTGGAAACTACATGCCTTCTTCAAATAGGAAAATTAATGTAACCACATGCAAATTACTTTTTTCTTATTCATTGATGCATGA